TGTAAAATTTGTGTATAAATAAATTCCTTTTTATATATATTTTTATCAACCAAATGAAATCTTTATTATCATAAAGTATAAGAGATACCTCTACCCTTAATAGAAAGAGTATAAATAAATATAAAGAAATGTAATTTTAAACTCAAAATATATACCTATTAAGTTCATAAACATCTACAGATATATTCCACTCTTTTTAACTTATTTTCTCCCTGTATAATTAAGGTTAAAGTATGTCTATAGCCCCTCATCATAATAAATTTGAAATTTTTAACCATTCACTTTACACTATGAATCTTTTAGTTTCTGAATTTAAAGGTTTTAAAATTTTAACCCCTAAACTAACAGAATCCGTTAACTCTTTATTAAAATTAAAAAAAATATATTTACAAAATCAATCCTCAAAGATTAAAAATGTAATAATTAGTTTTAAAAGTTTAAAAATTATAAAAATTAGTAAATTAAAAATAATTAGTGAATGACTTTACCATATACACAAAAACAATACTAAAATATTTACAATCAAATCAAGTGATTAACTTAATTTAAAGAAAAAAATTTGATTGAGATTAAAAAAATTTCTTAATTATATTATTTTAGTCTCTTGGACTTTTTGTTTTAATTCGGCTAAGAAATTTTCTTTAATCTTAACAAAATTCTTTCTTTAAATTGAGTTGATCACTTGATTTAATTATAAATATCTAATACTATTTTAGTATATGTGATAAAGTCATTTATTAATTCTTTTTAACTTACTAATTTTTTTCATTTTTAAACTATTGGAACTAAATTTTTATATTTTTTTATCTTTGATGACTGATCTTGTAAATATTTTATTTTTATTTTAATAGAGAGTTACCAAATTATGTTAATTTAGAAGTTAAAATCTTTAAACTTTTAAGTTTAAAAACTAAAATCTTTATGTTTAAAAACAAAAACCTTTATGTTATAAGGTGAAGGACTAAAATTTTTAAAATTAATAAGGTAATAGACTAAATGTAGACTTTAGCCTATAATTAACATCTTTTCACATCTCTTTTGATTTCATCTCGAGTCATTTCAATTAACATTAAAGTGGTCGGTTAGTCTTCCAAGTATAGGTTTCGACTTGGTCTTTCAATGATCAAATATGTTTTACACTCAATTGTGGGGTTCTTATCCCACGTTGATGATGGATGTGTAAATTTAGTAAAATATATAAGATTTTACATAATTTTAAATTAATCAATTTTAAAATTATAACCTATTTTATCCTTGTCAAAAAAGGGCAGACATGTTTACCATGTTCTCGCTACATAAGAGCCCTGGTTATGGAGTTCCTATTCCACATTAGTTATGAGTACGGAAGTTTAATAAAATATATAAGATTTTATTTAATTTTTAATCAATCAATTTTAAAATTATGGCATATTTTGTTCATGTTGAAAAAAATGTTTTACACGCACTTTTCTATTGCAAAAATGCAAACATGTTTTCCAGACAAAGGGCCCATCCACACGCAATCAGCAATCTGTCCCATCCCTTTTTTAATTTTTTTGTCTAAGAATCTGTTCCATGCCCTTTTGAATTGTCGGTCGTTAGGGGTAGAGTATTTTAAACGAATTTTTGTGAAATTTAAAATTAATTTATCTTCAAATAATTTTAATTATGTATTATTTATATTG